GTAAGAAGACAATTGAAGAGTAATTTAACATCCCACTTCCAATCATGGATAAAACAAGCAGGTAGAAGGTTCACTAACACAGAAAACTTTAACAATAGGCTAAGCCAAACCTAATAAATCTATCGAAGACTTTACACAATAGAACATATCCATCCCTATAAAACACAGGAAACCTTCAGGATAGATCATACAGCAGGTCATTGAATACTATCCCCCCAACTGAAATGGCTGAAATCATATAGTCTGTTCTGACTAAAAGAGAACACTTATTCATTTGTAGAAGGCAGTTAACTTTTACCTAGGAAGAGAATTTTTAAAACCCATAAATCAAGGGTAAGGCACAGGGCATAATTAATAGTAAAATACGTACACACTTTTTGCTCTATAGCCGAAATGTGGCAAACAAAGAGTTAACCTTATTCACTCCAAGTTAGAAAAAGATTTATACACGTGCTGGTACATTAGATGACTGAAGTTGTGTTAGTGCTGAAGAAATATTGTAAAATCATAACTCTGTGGAAGTCTTAAGAATACAAGCTAGCAACATTTACAAGTTGCCTTGTTTATAACTCAGTAGAACAAGATAAACGATTATGGATCTGCTCGGCTCTTCCTCAGCATTAGGGTCATCAATGTTCATAAGTGACTTTCTTCGTTTATCTCACAGGTGACATTCAGAACTTCATGACAGCCTTGAGTAGTGATTGCTGATCTATTTGTGACAGTCCAAATGGCTTCCCCAAATCCCAAAATATTAATAGGCCCATTACGGAAGAAGTTTGCTAGCCCATAGCCTAATAACTAAGTAATCCTTGGGTGGGTCTGGCAGATGGTATTCCAGAAAAAGACACACTGTGAAACGATTTCCCAGAGAAACAGCATAGTTGTTTCTTCCATAAATGTGTGTGAATCTCCATTGTATTTTAATATGCAATACCAATGAAAATACTCATTTCTTTTGTAAGCATGGAGCCAACCATACTGTTAATTTTTCTTTTTTGGTTTTTCAAGATGGGGTTTCTCCATGGAGCTTTCGCTGTCTTGGAACTCTTTCTGTAGAACAGAAAACTCAAAAAAATCTGCCTGCCTCTGCCTCCTGAGTGCTAGGATTAAAGGCATGGGTCACCACCACCTGGCAATTCTTTGTTTTATTGTATGACTGGGAGGTTGTCCAGACATTGACTTGTGTTTAAGGGCTTATAATAACGGGAAACTTGTTTATTATTTTTCCCGGCCTGGAATATGAGTGAAGATTTCACAATTCTCCCAAGATCCCCCCCCACACTTTTTTTTTCCTAGCTGACCAAACCCTGGGAAGTGATGGATGGCTCACAGGAAATCGTTAAGATTAACGATGACAGCTCCCACAATTCTGCCTTAAGATCAGAGATTTATGGTCACTAAGTACACTGCTTTCCTGGATGTGCAGACGGTACATGGTGACTTGGTTTGGGGCGTTTCACGGCCATGGCTGTATTTCTCTCCCACACTCAGGCCCATTGCTCTCCCATCCCTACCCAACAGCTACTCCCAGAGGAGCTGATCCTCTTTCACTACACAGCAACTTGATTTGCAAGTATGAAACTTGAAGATCAAAGCAAAAGCTTGTTTTCATGTCCTTTTTAGGGAAGTGCTGATGTCCGGGTCTGCTCTCAACCTCCCAAAACCTTGTCTCTGGACTCCTTGGTCCAGCCAACTGATCAGACCCAGACCCTGGAAGATGGTCAAAGGACACCCTGTCCCCGTCTTTTGCTCATATCTTTTAGGTAGCGTAATTGGAATCAATAAAGCAAAAGAGGCCAACAGACTGGGAAATCTTGTCAGAAACAAACTGAAGACCCTGAATATGCAGGAATATGGAGCAAGCAGCCATCTCATCAAGGCTCTAATGACGGAAAAAAATCAAAAAAGCAAACTAGCACCTAGGATATGTAGCTCACTCTTGTCACTTAAATGAAGGAACATGGCAACACATTTTAAGTTTATACAATACAATGAGAAGATTTTGAATAATGATTATCATTAAAAATCACAGGATTTAAAACCTGTCTTTACAAATATCACAAACAAGCACTCAGGAACCAAGGAATCAATTACAAAGTCCATTGGTTGGAAACGACACATTATGAGATGTCTGGTCATGACCAGGAAGTCCCTCTGTTTTCTCCTCTCGGGCTCAGTGCTCCACAGTGGTCACCATTTCCCTGAGTTACCAATGGTCAATCCAGCGGCAGGAAGCGGGACATAAACACACACTTGACTCTTGCTGGATTCCAGCTTGGCTCTCAGGCAGTCTTGATTGCTGTGATAAATGGGCCCCTCCATTTCTCCATGTGGAAGACCGCTTCCTAAGTCACAAGTGTATCTATCTTCCTCAAAGCCATTCTCTTTTTCCTCTTCCTTGTTCCTCCAACACTGCAGAGGTCAAATCCTTTAGTCTGCAGAGGTGGGCAGATATAGTTCAGGGCCAGCCTGGTCTACATAGCAAATTCACAGTCAGCAAGGATTACAGTAACACTTTGTCTTAAAAAAACAAAACAAGCCGGGCAGTGGTGGCGCACGCCTTTAATCCCAGCACTCGGGAGGGAGAGGCAGGCGGATCTCTGTGAGTTTGAGGCCAGGCTGGACCGACAGCCTCCAAAACAATACAGAGAAACCCTGTCTCGTAAAACCAAAAAACAAACAAACAAACAAAACAAAACAAACAAACAAAAAAACTATAACTGTTTAACCCTGTTCTTCCTGAGAGAAAACCTATATAACCTATGTTTTCACTTGCATTCCAGGCACAGAGGAACTAGGTGCCTGTGACCTCAGCACAGCAGGACCAGAGTTCTTGTTCTCCGTTACGTAGCAAGTTCAAGGCCAGCCTTGACTCCACTAGTCCCAGTCTCAAAAAGCCAAAACAAGCTTCCTTTTTGTAAATCAGTACATCTCTTTATGCAGTTTCAACTTCCGTAGGTGCAGTTACCTACAGTTAACTTCACATTTAATATTTTCAGGACATAGTTACAGGACTGGGCAATTCATAACCTATTAGTTGTTAAAAACTAATTTTACATTTTATTTTGATGTCTTTTTTTGTGGACGTGTCCTTGTGACATGTGTGTATTCATGTGTGTGAATGTAGGCACATGTGTGTCACAATGTAGGATTAGAGGATGACCTCTGGTGTCAATTACCACTTTCTGCTTTGGGACAGTGTCTCTTCATTATTTTTCTGCTGTATATGGCCCTCAAGCTCTGGGGAGTCTCCTCCCTTGGCCTCTCGTTTCTCTGTAGGTGTGCTGTATTTGCAGGTGCTCATGATGCTGGGCATGTTTTATATGGACAAGATTTTTAATCCAGGTCCTCATGCTTCTGTGGCAAGCATTTTTACCACACAGACTCACCTCTCCAACTGGTCCTCCCCTCCCCACTTTTTAAAAACATATTTTTATTTTGTATACATTGGTGTTTTGCCATGGGTGTCAGGTCCCATAGAACTGGAGTTACAGACAGTTGTGAGCTGCCATGTGGGTGCTAGGAATTGAACCTTGGTCCTCTGGAAGAGCAGTTAGTGTTCTTAACCACTGGGCCATCTCTCTGGTCCCCACCTCCCCTCTTTAATGAGACAGGGTCTTGCCATATAGTTTGGACTGACCTAGAACTTGTGATCTTTCCCGCCTCCTAAAGTACCAGGATTGGGCAGGAACCAGCATATCCATCATATTCGGTTTGTAAACTAAACTTTCACAAATATGTACATATGCATAAGAAAGAATGAATTACACAGAATTGAGTACTACATGTTTCTTTGGACATTCAATGAGATCTTGGTTAAGCATCCTCAACAGATATTCAGATATTAATATCAGTTAGATTGCTTTTTAGCTTCTTACATTCTAAAATGAAACCCTATTCCTTGATGTCTTACTCCGCTTGTCAAAGTTACTAAAAGATGGCACAGCTTACAACTTTTTTTCTTAAAGAGACAGTTTTATGTAGCCCAGTCTTAAACTTGCCACATAGCTGAGGATAACCTTGAACTCTTGAACTCAAGAGGGCTGGAATTACAGGCATGGAATACTGTGCCTGGATTTAAGTCTTTGTGTGTACTCAGGATGCTTTGATGACTAAAGTGGGTCTTAATTCGTACTGTCTTCAGCTGAGAATACCTCTTGGGCACTCTGCCACAAATAAGACATCTATATCCAACCCCTTCCCAAGGAACCAGCATAGAAGAGGGAGCAGAAGGGATCAGGGAGGGCTGGATCAAATAGTTTCTTCTGGACATGACCAGAAGCCTGCATTAAGAAGCTCACAGTGGCTGTGGCTGCTCGAGCAAGGGCAAGCGGTAAACATTCTAGCATGAGGAGGAAGAGTTTCCCAAGCACCTGACTCAACTAAGGAATCCTATGGAGAGCTGATGGTTTCTGAGGGCCGGGAGAGCCCATTTTCTTCAACGGTGGCCACTGGTAAGATCAACCATGCTCTTGTGGACCACCCATGCTCAGGACTATGTGCAGCCAAGATTGGTCTCATAAAGAAGGAAAGAAAAGGGCTGGAGAGATGACTCAGCAGTTAAAAGCATGGGCTACTTTTCCAGAGGGACCTGGGTTCAATTCCCAGCAACCATTTGGTGGTTCACAACTGTCTGTAATGAGATCTGGTGCTCTCCTCTGGTGTGTAGGGAGACATGCAGGCAGAACACTGTACATGTAATAAAGTTTAAAAAGGGGGAAATGTAAGTTAAAAGACATAAAGGTGTGTGGGTAGAGGATACTGATAGATCTGGGAGGAGCTGGGGAAAGGGTGGGACAAATATTGAAATATATTGTAGGGAATATTAAATTGGAAAAATTACTCTTGGGAATACATTTTCCTTCAGGAATATATATATATCATGGTGCTGTGGTCACAGGTGACAACCTCCCATTAACTCATGATATTCACATAACTCCACTACCGGACAAGAAACTGCACAGCGACTTCAAAGACAAGAGACAAGAACACGTTGCTAAAGATGTCCTATATACATATTTATATATACATATATAGTACTTTATTTAAAATGTCATTGAGCATATACAGTTCTTGAGCTTTTTCTAGGGGACATTGCACCTAAGTTTCAAAACACACAAAATAGATCCCCTTTAAACACTTCTTCATTTGGGGTTTACAAAAGTCAATGTTCCACAATCACAAAGCAGAAAGGTACACGGTTCTGAATCCATTCCCAGGCAGATTCCTCTCAAATCACTGTACGTGGAGTAGTTTTGGAAACCCAGACCATGACATACATCATTCTTACAAATGATAATTGCTATGGGCATCCCTGGGTTTCCAAAGAATCAAAGAAAATCAGAGGCAAAACAGGAATGAAGGAGAAACCATGGGACCCCTAAACTCACACAAAATACTCATCTAATTGGGAGAGGAAGAGTGGGGGACACAGCCTCTCCATCTTCGGCACATCCAGTTGAAAACAGTACACATACGGCCTTATTTGGTCACCGACTACATGATTGCTACATGAACACAACTTCACCTAAGACACAAAGGAAAAACTAAAGCTATTTACACAGAGAACATGGGGACTTAGAGCAGATGGCATTCACATCTGACGGAAGGGCCACAGGGCTCACAGAAGAGGCAAGTAAGCCAGGCTGCTCGTGTGGTGTCCTCTGAAAGTTCCAGTGTACACACATATGCCCCGTTGCCACATAGCACCCAAAATTTGCTCAGTGAGGTGGGCTGTGGTCCACAGGCCCACAGAGCAATTTTGAGCTCCAAACACATAATTCTGTCCTGTGGCTAAAGTCTGCTCTACTATTCATTAGATCTGGGACGCTTTAGGGTCAGTCTGTTCCTTGCATAGACAATTTTCGTTTTTTGTGTTTTTTTTTTTCTCCAGCTGGCCCTGAAGCACAAACTCACTGAAATTTGAATCTCATCATTGCACAACATGCACACCCTGAAAACAGATCCTGGCTCATTTGAGGGGTGATGTCTTCAAACTAGCACACGCAAAAGCACACACCACTTGTGCCCTCGCAAATGCAGCAGACGGGCCAACAAGGAAAGAGGAGGCAAGGGAGGGGAGAGCAAAAGGAGAGTTGGTATTTTAAAAAAGACACTCTTCCCCCAAAGGGACTCTAAACTAGTGGCCATGGGATGCTGAATTCCCCGCCCAAACGGCCAAAGTCTGGAGTGAAATTTGGCTCGGGAGACTCATCCCTGCTCATCAGTATCCATCTATGGGTAGAAGTCCCCTCAAGGAAGGGACTTGCAGAGAAGTGTGGTGGGAAGAGACAGCTGGCTGCACATAGCCTCGCGGAGGTAAGACGCTAGGAATTTGAAAAATTCAATGCCCCAAATCCTCCAAGATTGAATACTGTGGAAAATAACTGAGACACCGGCTTGTTCCGGCTAGACAGCTGCATGTTTGGCCTAACCCATTGTCACCACTCCCTTTCTGCCACAAGGGCAATCATTGGGCATACACAACTCCAGCAGGTCCCTTCCCCATCTTTGGCTGCTGACATTTGGTGTCAGAAGAACAAAGCTTTTCGTTACCGCCTAGTGAAACACTTCAGAGTTCACACTGTTTTCGGGAGGTACCATGAGACCAAGAGCAGAGACTGGCTGAGCAAAGAGATTTAGGGCTGAAGAGCCTTTCATTAGAGGAAGTAGCCACACAACCCCCAAGACACCCATAAGGACTTGACTAGGAAATCAAACGCTCTCCATTACACGCGGCTTCCCCCGAGGCCGTTAGGGCAAGCCAGCGTGGCTTTAAGTCAGTCATATGCTATTTCTAAACACACAGACAGTTCGCAGAATTCCGAGTGTGTTGTCTTTTGACCTTTACAGGAATGCTCCTAGGGCCAACGTGTTACATACATGGACAGTTACTGTTCTGGGACAGGGTGACCTGGAGCCTGGGTGAAGCATGAGGTCCCAAAAGCCCAATGCACAGAGCAATATCAGCGCTGGGTAGCTCTGCCATTGCATGAACAAATCGCTTTCCCCACGTTTGATTTATTCACCTCATTTGTAATCTTCCCTCCCCCGAACACACAAACAGGGCTTTAGTCTTCGACTAACATCTTCTCATGAAGAGAACTCCGGGATATGTTGCCAACTAAAACCAGCGGGACCCTAGGTTTTAGGATTAATTTCAATTTGGGTTTTCCAGGTTTTGTTTGGTTTTCCTTAGACAGTAAATGAATTGAGAGAATGTTGTCATAACACCTAGAAGATATTTATACACTCAGAAATTCTGACCCTGGTGGCCTGAGGAGGACTGGAGGGGGTCAAGGTGAGACCCAGGGAGGAATGCATAAAAGTAAGAATATGGAAGGCATTAGGGACATGGGACTATCCCAAAGAAGGTGGCTCAGGTCCTCCACAGAAGTCAAGGCTTTCCCATTTCCCGTTTGCACATGACGTTGAGAGCTGGGCAGATGTGGGAAGAGGACCACGCCCCTAGAACATGCTTCAACCGCTTTCCACAGCATCCTATCCGCCACGGAAGCAGCACAAACCACTCCCCACAGAGATGTCTGGGGTGGTAAAGACTTCCTGAAGGAGGAGATTTGGGTGCCCAGCCAGATGAAGATGCTCCCCAGTTCTCGGGCAACCAGTTGGCACACGCATAGTATGTCACCTGCTGGACTGGGTACTGGCTCTACACACACAGTGGGGTGGCTTTGTGAGGAGGAAGGCACCAGGCCTTTCCTAAGAAATTATCTACAATCCCAGGAATGCGGATGACTTATCAGCCTGGAGGATATATGCTCTTCTGCTCTCCTCTGGGAAGGAATTCTTAAACACACAAGAGCTGGAATTGCCTCGCAAGCATCTTGGGGAAATTATACCCTTTTCCCCCCTGGGTTGGAGGAGTGTCTGAATCACACCAAGTTGATATCCTGGAAGACTATAGGACAGGACTAAGCCATCAGATGTTGGTCTGAGGCAGAGCAGCCGTTTGCTCAAGAGACAGGGGCTTTGCCTGCTGTCCCTTCCAGCAGGAGGCAGATGCCACCCCACGTGTGAGCTATGGCTATGCTCGTGGGGCCCGCGCAGCAGTGGGGGTTGATGCACACTGGGAAAGTGGGTCTCGGCTCTAGGCCTTCTACAGCATGATTCATTTGAGGAACAGGGTAGGCAGTGCCACAATGACTAGCCCGAGGTCAAATTCACTTTTATTCAAGTGTCATCCCATCTACCCTTGAACAAAGATGACAGGAAGAGAGGAGGATGACTGCTTAGCAGAGCTGTGACACTCCCTCTTCCTGTGGTGGTGGTGGGGGGGGGGCTGAGGCTGGAAAACAGTCAGCCACTCGGCAAGCCTCAATCCCACATTCTTCCCTAATGAAGTACGACTTCATTAGGATGGACAGGGCAACTTCCTAAGCTGCTGTATTGGATTGCTGCTCCCTATGCATCGTCAGGACACACCAGGTGGGAGAGCATCCACCCAGTCCAGAAAGAAAAAACTGGCCTTTCACAGCAAGACCTTGGAATATGTGCAGAGGGACCTTCAGATAACAGGGGGTCTGTGGGGTCAATGAGACACCCACATTCTGAAGCCAAGCTTGGTGAGAAAACAGAACTCAGGGTTAACGTTATCCAACAAACTGTCACACGGGGCATTGCTCCGGACAACTATATTTGTGTATGGGACACAGAACACGGGACAAGCCAGATCGGGCTAGCCTGATATGGAAACTGTCCAGCAACGAGTTGGAAGTCCCAGTGGAGAGAAATGAGAAAGATTCAAGGAATGTCAAAGCGGGGAAAAAATCTGCCTCACACCCTATCATTACCAGAAAAGAATCCAGAGAAACAGAGGGAGATGGAGAGAAGGGACAAGACAGAACAAGGAAGAATCCCTGAAATAGTGGAGCTTCCAAGATGGGCGCTCACACTGTGAGGCAGGGTCCCCAACTTTTCAGTGTGGCTCTTCACCTGGAGAGAAGCTGGCAGCTTGACAGGCTGAGGAGTCTTCTGCCAGTTACACCTGGAATGGCTGTCCCTGCTTTCTAGATAAAATAAATAAGGTTATGCCTGTGCTCCAGATAGGCAATAGCCCCCTAGGAGCCCTACAATGGAAACCAAGAGAAATAGAACACCCGGTAGCAGGCTGTGCATTTTGTTCTTATTCAGTATCCAGACCGGTACTAAAGAAATGGAAACCTAAGGGTCACCTTGAAGCAAAGCCAGAGGCCTTTGGCAGCAAATTCCCCATCTGGGCTGGGAAGAAATTGTATCACCTGGAATCCAGCCCAGGCACTCCCCAGTTCTGTTCTGCTTAGAGGCATCCCAGTTTTCTTTCTGTCCTCCCAATCCCCTGGGTCACTTTCATGACAGTTTGTTTCCATGTATTAAAGGAATGACGTATACAGAGATGTCGTCTCCTGAGCCCAGTCGGTCATTGGATATCCGCCATCCTCTGTCCTTCAGGACGCCCCGGGCTCGCATCACCAGGTCCTGAGCTGCCAGTGTGTACCTGTGCCGAGGGGAAAAGCAGGAATAAGACAGTCAGGACAACATGGGTAGACACAAGGCCCAGTGGGGGCTGGAAAGGAGGCATCACTACAGCTGTACAGTTTCCAACTAACTTAAAAAAAAAAAAGCTATCTTCTCCCAAAAGCATAATCCTTCACCATCCCAGTTTTAGTATTTGTCTACATAAGCACATGAGAAAAAAAGCAAACGAAATCCAGGAACGTCTGTTTTCAATATATTTTTAAGGCTATCTTTCCTTTTATATCAAAGGGTTTTTCATTCATGGCTGTGGTGAACCTATGGGTTCAAAAGATTTGAAGAAAAATGTTAAAGGTACTACACGTGGTATAGGAAAACGAGGAAGGGGAAGGGTGGGTGGTGGGTGCGGGGGATGGGTAAAGCCTCAGTAGGGGTGACTTTCTCCATGCCTTCATCGGCGTGATGTTTGCCTATAGTTCATAAAAGGGCCGCGCATGCGCGGGAGTGGGACCACTCAAGAATTTGAAATGACTGTTCACAGAAAAAAATGGCATTAAGCTGACAAAGAGGCTGACACCCAGAGAAGAAAGTGTTGCACGAGGGGTTATTTGTGGGCACTGGCTTCTGTCACCTGGGAGGCATAAGAATGAACTAAGACACCAGCAGGTTCCTAACTCAGTATTGATCAGTGCAGAGACTCTTAGCTGAGACTTCAAAGGCGTCTGGGAGGGGGGGACTTAGTGTGCGAAGGATTATTTTCTAAGCCTATGCCAGGAAATGAGCGATGCATCTTTTTTTCTTTTTCCAGTTTCTCGTTCACCAAATAGTGTGCTGATTATGGTGTGCCTCCCTGTGTAGCGTAGGCTTGCCTACCAGGGGAGAATATACTACTCTTTGTGCTTTGAAAGCCTCAGTCAGCTGTATTTCTCTGAATAAATGTCAACTGGCATTTTGGTTTAAAGAACATTTTTGTCAAGCTTGGGGAAGGTGAGCCCAGCTCTGACAGTTGAGTCTGTTATTTGTATCATGATTAAATCATGCTTGGAACCTAAACCACTAAGAGGCAGATTCTGATAAATCACCAGGAAAATAAATGTCAACCTACGCATGCCTCTTGGAAGCCCGACAACAGGGCTTTTTACAAGGCGCACATGACCTCTCCCTGCTCAGAGTATCTTAGCATTACCTTTGGAATCTTGGGACAGATGCCATGTGCTCTATAAACCTAAGAGCGGACAGCACTCTGGTTAGAACAGATTTGATTTTTAAGAACAAGGGTTTCAGCAAATTATTGGGGCTGGGAACATTCCAAGTTGTGCAGCCTTTAAGAATTAAGTCTGTTCTTATAAGCCCAGGTGGCCAACAATGTGTCATACAGCACATTGCACTTAGTGCAAAATGAATGCCACCTTAGATGGAGAGTTGGGTAGGTAGGACTGGATGGAGAGTCGGTTAGGTAGGACTGGATGGAGAGTCGGGTAGGTAGGACTGGATGGAGAGTCGGGTAGATAGGATTGGATGGAGAGTCGGTAGGTAGGACTGGATGGAGAGTTGGTAGGTAGGTAGGACTGGATGGAGAGTTGGGTAGGTAGGAGAGACCCCTTGTTTTCTAACTGATATAGAAGTCTGTTATACTTGAGGGAAGATGCAACCAGTTAGTTCTAACTAAGAAGTCTCATTTTGTAACCAAGAGATAGAGGGGGCGACAGATATGGCCCAGAGAACAGTTAAGAGCACCTGTTGCTCTTGAGGACTGTAGTTCAGCTCCCAGTACCCAACATGGTGGTACAAACCATGGATAACGTCTGTTCCAGTGGGTCTGATGCCCTTGTTGACAGTTATGTGGTGCACAAATACCCATATACATACAAATATTTTTTTTATAAAAAAGACTGACAGCCAAGAAGGGGAGGCCTTAGGCTGAAGAACTACATGAATACCCCAGGTCCTACATTATACACATTCAGGACAGCCTCTAAGGGACTTGCTGGGGGTTATTCTTAGCAATAATGTTGTTACCAGCAACATTAGGGTGATGCTTATCATTCTGGCGATTGACTGTCTGAACCTTAAACTTTGAAGATTCAGAAATATCACTGACCACCGCAGTGGTGGCAAACACCTTTAAATCTCAGCACTCAGGAGGCAGATACAGGTGGATCTCTGCTTTTTAGGGCAGCCTGGTCCACAGAGGAGTTCCAGGACAGCCAAAACTGTCTCAAAAAAAAAAAAAAAGAAAGAAAAAAGAAAAAAAAAAGAAAGAAAGGTAGAAGGGAGGGAGGGAGAAAAAGCAGCAACTGTGCTGACTCGATGAGTTGATTCCTTTATCAGGGTTGAGTACACCTTGAAAGATGAGCTGTGGACATGGTCATCTGTGGGGAAACATGGCTGACAAGGAGACAGACATTTTAAGAAGTCAGAAAAACAGCCCTCAGAAGTCCAGACACAGTTCTTGATGGCTGCCTGGTCATGAGGCAAAAAGGCAGGTGCAACCTTCATGAGAAATGGCTGGGGACGGGGACAAGATAGGTCAGGAGAGCACAGGCAAGAGAGCATAGCCCTGTACTCTTGTGACTTCAGGTATTTCACTGTTAGTTTGTGGGGACAGGTTTTGCCCTACAGGCCAGGTTGTCTTTGAACTCACAGTTGCATCGCCTCTGCCTCTGAGATACTGATATCACAGGCATGTATCTTCGTGCCTGGCGTTCCCAGTGTTTTCAAATGATCAGTTAGCTTTGGCATTTTTTATTCCCATTTCTGTGTACACACACACACACACACACACACACACACACACACACACACACACACACACACGAGAATTTCATACATGTGTACAGTAGAACTTTGACTTTTTAAAAGCTGAGTACTATGCCACCTGGAGACAATGGCCCCACCCAATGATGGATTACTCTTAAGATACAGTCATGACCTACTGCTGGATATTGTCTTTGAGATTTCACTCTCCATCATTTCTCCTGAGGTTATGATTGGGAGCCTAGGCTTTAACGACCACACCATCTCTCCAGCCCTTCCCTTAGGGTTTTGAGACAGAGGCTCCATCCCAGGCTGAATTAAACTGCAAAATGACCTTGAACTTATTTCTACCCCCAGAGTCCTAGGATCCTGTGTGCCACTATGTCCTCTGTTCCGGGGTCTGGGAGACTGAAGCCAGGCCTTTGTATATGCTAAAGCAAGTACTCTACCAACCAAGCTATATTCCCCAGGTTCTGAACTTCCCGACACAGGAATCCACTCTTAGATCCCCCAGCCTTAACCAGGAGGGCCCTATACCCTTTCTGATCTATCCTTGTACAGCCAATCCCAAGGCAGCATTGTCTCCATACTCATTCTCTTAAACATAGCCTGCTGACTGCTCTTTCCTCTCGAGTGGCCCTTTTCTCTTTCTGGCACCCATGCACGACACAAGCCCTGAAGCAAGAAATCACAGTCCTTCTCAAGGCCACCTTCTCACCTTGGTATTACTGATTATAAAGATTACAAAGCAGACTAGGACTTCTAAATCTCATTTTTCAGTGTATTATTTCTTCGATTGTGCATGGCTAATCAAAAGAAAACCCAACTTCATAGTCATTAAGATTGGTGTATCTGACATTTTACTTTCACTATAACATAGACACAGACATGCATACATGTATGAAGGCTTATTTTGTGCTTTCCATTCGTGCTTCATGCATATGCTCTGCCATGCTAAGAGCTTTTGAACATTCACACTCCACATACAGGTGACTGAGATTATTGCTCATTTGGCAATCTGCTCAATTTTTAATGTACAGTTCACTATCTCTGCCTTATTCCAAAAAAATGACATTAGAACACGTTCCTTCATCATCCATATAATGGGTGGAATATTTTAGTTTGCCTTGGTTTTAATCTCAACTAGTCACTGTTATTATTTGGGTACTTAAGGGGACCAAACACTCTCACAAACTTCTCTCTCTCAGTCCGTTTTTCACTCTGAATTTTGTTTCCTGCTCTAGGAGGACATGATAAGTCTTTAGCAATGCTCCAGGGATAAGCTTACATCATTCTTGGGAAAAGGAAAAGCTTGATTTAACTTAGAGTAATAACGATTCAAGGTGCAGTATTAGAGACTTATTTTCACTCTTGTTATGTTGTGTGTGTGTGTGTGTGTGTGCATACTCGCACATCAGAAGAGGGTGTCCAATCCCCTGGAGCTGGAGTTACAGGTGTTTAAAAGTCACCAGATATGGTAGCCAAACTCTGCATAAACAAATAAAAGTACTCATAAACAAAAGTGCTTACGGGTGTTTGCACATGAAGGTCAGAGAACATGTTGTAGAGTGTGTTCTTTCTCCTCCCACCATGTGGGCTCCAACTAAGTTCATCAGCCTTGGTGGCACGTGTGTGCCCTCACAGGATGAACCATCTCCAGCCCTGAGGTTTTTATATAACTTCCTTGCCATTAGTACCTTCCATTGTTCCCCGAACTTGTTTCTGTGTGATGCCCTTCACTCTTTAATTTCTTTACAAGTTTACTTTACTCAATCCATTCGGGGAGCTCCTTCATCATAGTGGCAGTTTCTGTCTTGATTTCCCCTGGTTCTTTCCCAAATCCACCTCTTGATTCTATTTTCACACGTTTAACTCCTTTCAAACCATCCTATCACATCCAGGTTTTCTCTGGGAAGTGGATAAGGGGGCGGGGCTCCATCGTCCACATGTGTTTTAAGGTAAGATGCAAGCTTTGCTTCTGAAATCAGTTGTTGACTACGTACCCAGGGTTATCTAGAGATTTAAAACAACCTTCGGGGTGTGTGTGGGGGTGGTGGTGGAGGTGTTATGGGTTTTTCCAGTGCTTTACAAATCTGTTAATTTGGGGGAGCTTAAGATCATAGCGGTAGTATGAAGGTTAACTTCACGTCTGTCCTGTGTACTAGCCATTTCCTCCTTAAACCAGAGCATTAATTTTGTCAGGTATCTGCTCTCAGTACCTACAACGTGCTTTTTTTTGGAGAGGGAACAGTTTAAGGAACATCC